ATCCTTGCTTCGGGAGAATCCCATCCATCCGTTGTACCAAGAGAGTGGTATCACGCGTGAATATGTGAACAAGTCGTGTTAATAGAGGGGGGATTTGAATCGTCATAGGCGCAGGTTTGTCAGGACGTCTAGCATGGAATTCTTGAAGGAGCTCTTGACAATTGGTCAAGTTCGCCCGTGATTCCCAGGAGCGGCGATTGCCGTGAGGGCTGTTCTTCCAGAGCACCTGATACTCCAGGTTTCCGTTTCGATCACGACGGGAGTCAAGAATGTCTTCAACTTCCTATTCTTCCTCGCCATTTACGAGGTCAGGGACTATCGGTTCTCGTCGTTGTGAGGGGTACGTGGGTTCTTTGAAGGGGCTAAGGAGGCTTTCATTGAAAACGGGGTGTTGTTTTCATTGACGTGGGAGTTCCAATTCATAGGCGGAAGCACCGATTTTGTGTTTGACCTTGAAGGGTCCATATTGCTTATCGTCCAGCTTCTTCATTGGCCTGTCTGTTTGGATGTTTATCCCTTCTAGCCAAACTTTATCCCCCACTTTGTACTCCAGTCTGCTCTTCCTCTTCCTGTTGTAGAAGTGCTTCATGGTTTCCTGTGCTAGACTGATAGCCGCACTAGTGTCTTCACGTACTCAATTCATTCTGTCGACAAACTGTTGGACATTCTCGCTTAGTCCTTCTCACACCGGTTGGGTTCCCTCATAAGGGTGGTACCCTTTATTGACGAAGAACGGAGTATATCCGGTGGACGAATGAACTTTATTGTTATACAAAAAGACCGCGAGTGGCAACCATTCGGCCCAATCTGCTTGTCAGTAGTTGATGAACAATTGGAGGTATTGTTCTATCTCGCGATTGATGCGTTCCGTCTGCCCGTCTGTCTGGGAGTGATACGCGGTCAAAGGATTGGCTTCGATTCTGAGGAATTGGTACAACTCAGAGATGAACTGATTCTTGAATTCAGTTCCTCTGTTGCTTATGATCTTTCGGGATAATCCATGATGTGCGACTACGTTATCTTGGAGTGCCTTTGCCCATCCTTCAGCGTTGAGCTCAATGATGCTTGGTATCGCAATTATCTGTTTAGAGTACATGCAGACGATTACGAGGATAGCGTTGTATCCGAAGGATTCCGGTAGTACGCCTATCTTGTCGACGGAGATTACTTCCCAGGGTCACGAAGGGATTTTGTTTGAGAATAGAAGTCCGGTAGGTCATGTCGTATGAACCTTGGTCTTCTGGCATTTCTCGCACCCTGCCACATACTTCCTGAAATCTTCTCGAATTCGGGGCCACCAGTAGTTACGCGTGACCATTTCATGTGTTTTGTATTGACCAGGATGTCCAGCTAATGGGGTATCATGGTGATGAGCAATGATTTGTTCATGGAGTTTTCTATTTACTGGTACGTAAATACGGTTCTTCTATGTCACGAGTCCGGTACTATCTTTGTCCCAGTCTTTGTCCTTATTCTGTAAAGCTACGATAACTAGCGAATCTCGGTTCTTTTTGTGTTTTTTAATTTCTGCAACCCAGTCCTGGTCGATTCCTTCTAAACTAAATACAGTACTACAAATCAGGGCACGAAAATGTTCTGGTTTTAGTAATACA